TGAGCAGCATTTCCTTCTAATGGAAATACCGGAATAAATAAGCTCAACAGAAGGGTATGAACTAAAAACAACGTGTGATAGCAATCTAGCATTTTGTCTGAAACAGGGTCTGTGCGTTTAGATCCAGGTCAGATTCTTTAGACTGAAACGCTCACCGACTAGTTTAAACTGCAGAGGAACGAGGAAGATAAAGACCAACAGCTTAAGTTCCCCTTCTCTTCTAAAACTCTTTTTACATATTTCCTTTTATTCTCATGCAACTCTTTCTGATTCCTATCATCAAGGCTGCATCGTGTTCCCTTAGTGTGGGAACAGCGTTCTTGGTGTTATATTCCTCTTAAGTTTTTTTGTCTACAGTTTTTAAAGTCATTAATTTCCTCTTTTCCTTTTGTTCTGCAAAGTGCAAATTAAAATAAATTTCTGGAGAATGCATTTCACTCATGGTTCAGAAATTTGTAAACTTACGACAACTCTTTTCCTTCTGCTTTTCAAGCACCATTAGTTCAGTTTCTTTGGTGTAACCTTTTTGGTTTGTATTTTTCAAAGTTAATGTAACGAGTTTTCAGACTTTATACAAAGTATGATTCGTACCAAAAACCAAAACAGGTTTTGTAAAACACTGTGTTTCTGTGACATTACTGGTCACATTTTTTAATCTAATTCCCAAATATTCTCATGTTACACAGGTCCTACCTTCTGTGGTATCATGAACTTATCATGAACAGAGGAGAAAAACAAAACCAACTTTTTTTTTCTTACTTTCTGAAATGTATCCTTCCTTTTCTTGTTCTTGGGTTTCTATTTGGACTAATTTGTTTGACCTTTACAGCTCAGAATTTCCTGCTTGGAAAATCCCCTCCATTGTCATTTACTATTTAATGATAAACCATATCCTGGTGTTTAAAGTTCACATTGGTTGCTGCAGCCAAATGGTTTTGAATGAAGTTATCTTTCAAGTTTCATCTGAATGGATTCTTTATGTTGAAAATCATTTGTGCTATTGCCAAATATCTTGCTATTCTTTAGCCTTTTTCTCTCTCTCTCATACTTTTAAATATCTGATGACCAACTCTGTTCTCTCCATGTTCTTGTTTTACATGATTACCTTCCTCATGTTCTCCAGCTCCTGCTGCTTGAGCTCGTTGGCCATCTGCAGTTCCCTCATCCTCAGCTGCAGCTCCTCCTGCTCAGCCTGCTGCCTCAGTCGCATCTCACGCCGCTTTTGTCGGGCCTCACAATGTGGCGCCTGCCTGCACTGACGCAGCAGACTCACACAGGTCTGAATGGCTGAAATCCACATATTAAACTCAACTCATTTATTTAAATACAATTTTCACAATGTAAGGACTGTATCATTATGTACTTTTAGAGCACTGAACATGAAGTCTGCCATGACAGAAAGTACACAGCAGCTTCAAGCAGCATGTATCAGGCTGGTGTAAAAGTGATGTTGGTGATACAAAATGCATCATGTCCCTGCACTGATTCTTAACAACAGCAGGAGTACATTATAATTAGTGGGCTGAGTGGAAACTCATTTGTGTGGTCACTCACCCTGGATCCACTCCTGCTTCTTCTTCTTGTCTGAAGCACTGATTTCAAAGCTTTTCAACGACGACTTTATGAGGAAGAGACATTTCTTTCCCTCTTTGTCTGGCAAAGGCTGAGGGCAAAACAATGGATATTTGATACTGGACACAAAACTAAAGGATTACAGTGACTTTTTCATTCATTATCACAGCTCAACAACTGACAAAGATATAATGACACATCCTGTCAATGTGTATTTGTGTTTTGTGCAAAGTTGAAATGGTGAAATTCAAGTTTCTACTTAAAACAGCAACAGTTTCTTGCCTCCACAGAACAGTTTCCATCCAATAAGATGTTCCCTTTGTTATCAGCCAGGTCTTCACCGACATAGTAGGAAATAAAGTTTGGCTTCAGCACAAACCAGCGCTCTGTCCAGTTCTTTCGCTTGTGACCTTTTTTCATCAAGTAACCCTGCAGAGACAGAGAGACACATATTTAGCCCACATTAATGTTTATTTCTTTTTTAAGAGAGTGCCGTTTCTGTTTAATAGTGGATATTGTATTTGATACGTAGTCTTTAATTAGGAAAGGGTTTTATTGTAGGTGAACTCCTGTGTCAAATATGTTGATTTTTTTTATGAAACTTTACAAACAGTAACCTATTTTCTGTACTGTTGCACAGAAAGCTATGACCATGTTATATGAACAGGGAAAAGGATAGAACTTTAATAGTGGTCACAAAATGGCCAGAGCTGGTCTGCTTCCATCTAGGATTTGACCTTTTTACTATTGTTATCATACACTTGCTTTTGGTTGTTTACTGTACACATCAAGTGTAAAATAATAATACAAGCATGATTTATATGTGGAATAAACACAACTAAAAACTGTGTTAACTTTGAAGGAAGCTGATGTTGAACCAGTTGCACTGAACACTGGCCACAGTCCAACATGTGACCCAGACCTAACACTGGAAAGTTGTAAAATCATCATGGAACAAAAAAAGAGTTGTTCAGTAGCAGTAGTAGTGTTGTAGTACTAACCTGTTTGAGTACGTCCAGGATAAGCTCCTGGTAGACCTCATTGATGCCCATGGAGAACCCCTGTTTGTCCATTCCTTTACTGAAGTGACCTGACCCCACCAGCCTGATCAGCTCCCATACACTCAGGCAGTGCTGCTTGGAGTCCAGCTGTAACTTGTAGTCTTCAAAACGCTCCTCTACCCAGCTGCCCCCCATGGCCTCCGTCAGCTTACGCAGGAAGTACTCGATCTAGGTGAGAAGAAAAATTGTATTCAACCAAATGTATATGTTTACCCCATGGTATTCAGTCAAACTGTGCTTTGTCACCATGATTTGTTTTTTCCCATTTTGTTTTTCAGCGGACAAAAGTCCTCCAGTGATTCACCTCTGACGTTTGAATTACCCGACAATAAATCTTCCAGTATTCGTAAAAGAACAGGATCCTGGAAACTTCCTTTTTTTTGCTCTTGGGCAACATTTTCATCTGGTCAGTTACAAAAGCAGCAGTACAACATGTGTACACTTGCACAACAGGAATGTGAAGCGTTGTGATATCGCTAACAATATTTAAATTATCCTTGATGAAAATGAGAAGTTATTAGTTAAACTACAGTCAGACTGTTTACAGCAACATGTTTTATGATTTATAAGGGATGGTTTATTTTGTTTGTCATTTTTTTTAGATAAAAACCTTTTTTTGGAAGGTGAAACTCATGAATTTAGAATTAAGTGGTTATTTTTGCCCCTTCTTTTCAGTGAAGACAAACTTTTACCTCAGAATACTAGAGAAATTAAAAAAAAAAACAATAAATTAAAACACAACATTAATACACTCACCTCCTCGGTGACTATGATCAGAGGATATCTGTCCTCAGACAGGAAGTTGAAGATGCACCAGATCTTAAAGGAGTCATCGTTGGAGATGAGCAGCTGACTTTGTTGCAGGTTTTTTTTGGAGCACAGAGTCCAGCACATTTTGTGGAAGTCCTGACGGTCAAAGTCGTCTGACACCTGGAGCAAGCACAACAGCAGCTCATGTGAGTCCAGTCTCTCAGTTAAAATCTTTGTCCACATGTATAAAAGTTCTGAAATACATTCAAAGATCAATCGTCTAAACTTACAAGAAAATGCATAGTGCATGCGTGATACTTTTGGAAACAGTTAGTGCCTAATGAGTGTTGAAAACAGTAGGAAGCCATAAGAAAAATACTTCATTGACTGTGCCTAGAATCAGTTAAGGGAGGTGAGTCTCTGTAAAAGTTTGGATTAGCATTTAAGCTAATGGCGTAAGGACTGTGGTATCAATGTAATACCACGGTGGAATATGATATTTTGTTCAATTTTCTAGCTAGAAAATGGAAAACAGGAGTTGGTAAAGACAGAAGGGAGAAGTGAAAAGACATGACAGAGAGTTTAAAAGTGTTGACGCATAATTTTGGTTTTAGGACAAAACAAACTAAAGTGATAAGCTAACCTCAGTAAAAACCCATCATTGTTCATTCATAACTATTTAAAGTACATTTGTGTCTCAGTCTTCACACAGAAAGATCATACAAAACCCCAGTCAAAGAGAAACCTGTCAATCTAAAAAAAAAGAAATCAGGGCTAGTGAGAGAAAATCTCTTGAAAAGGTAGAAGCACTGCTGTGAAGGGGGAGTGTTTGCCTCAGCCATGAACAGTGTCTCCGTGGAGACTCCTGGCAGTTGTCCTGTCAAAAAACAAGTCACAAGTAAACCTCCAAAAAAAAAAAAGAAAAAAAGAAGCAAACTCCCAAGTCAAGTGATCTGCTCAAGCACTGAAAAACAAATACATTTTTCCCTTCACTATCTACACTTGTGAGAAATGCTTTAAGCAGTCAGTGATGCATATATTGAAGGCATTAAAGAAAGAAAATAATTATGTTTCCCAATTATAGCATCTGCAATCTTAGATTAAAGTACATTTTTTACACATAAAATCGTTGTGAATAGTGAATTAGATTCACTAAAAAAAATTACACTGCTAGTGAAACATATAGGGCAGTTTGAGTATCAATATTCTGTGATAGTGAATTACTTAAGGAAGTCTGTCAATCACCACGAGATCTGTGAACTACCAGAAGTCAGCTCGTTGTCTGTCAGTTTCTTATTTTGACAAAAAAAAACCTTGTGCCACAGTGAGTTCCACACCAGCTCTGAGAATGTCACCTAAATTCTCACAAGGCCCTTTCGATATTTTCATTTCCTCTGCTGAAAGAGACATTCAGCCCAAGTGAATGACGGCAGTGAAGTTGTGTGAAGGCCTCACAGGATCTGATGTAACTCTATTGTGCTAATTTAGGGCAAGTGCCTGTGTGAAAAACCCGGGCTTCCAAAATCTCTACTTGGGTCTATTGAAGCTGTTGGGTAATGTATCCAAATTTAAATCCAAATTCTGTATGTGAATGTTGGGACTGAAGCATACAGTCTGTTTGTTACAGTTTCTATAAATACTGCATTTGATTACCTTCCTTAAAATCACATTTCACTCAGGAGCATGACTGCCTCTCACATGGGAGGTTGAAAGAGGCTGTGTTTACATGTCTGACCGGATTATATCGTTCTACTGGTTTTAGACCGAAGGTTGAGGAACATAACAAACGGTTGAGTCTAAGTTTGTCATCAAACCACAGTTTTTTTAGCCTGACAGACTCTTGTTCTTTGTCCTCTCTGTGTCTCTCTCTCTCTCCTAGTCTCTACACATCAACAATACCAGTCCTGTCTGTGCTGCCTTCACTGCCCTTCACTGCCACATGGTCATTAAGATTCAGGAGCTTCACCAACGCTGTATGAGGAGCAGCAGCAGCAGCAGCAGCAGCAGCAGCAGCAGCAGCAGCAGCTCTTATTGAAACTCCACTGAGGTGAAACAAATGAAACCTGACTTATAACTACTCAGCTCGTCACCAGTCAAACAAGAGTCTCTGCGTAAACAAGGGGCTTGAGGCTGGTGAATTACTTGTCACCAATGAGCTGTTTTGAAGAAACAGTGAGTAGTGATAAAGCAGTCTAAAAGGGCCTTCTATATTTTTCATGTATCAAAATTGTTTTAATTTTTTATTTAATTTTTAAATTTATATCCCTCAGATTACCTACTTCTCATCAAAGCCAGTTTTTTTAAAACAAAAAATGTACAATATAAATCAAATATATTTTTCTTTAACCACAACAAATACCATGGAATTAACAATAGCTACTACAGACCTACAGCAGACATTGTTAAAGCATCTTTTTAACCTGTTAAATTTATTTTAATGTTATAAATTGTGATATAAATTTTACATCTAAGGAGTAAATCTGAAATGGAAATGGTTTTAAACTGCTAAGCAGGAGAGGGTTTAGACACAACATTATATTAAATAAACAATTAGATGGCTCAAAACTGCATTAATTTGTGGTACGTGGTTTAGGATTACAAGTGAACAAAGAACACGTATTTGTTGTGTGTCTTTCTAAGACAAACACAGACAGAAACACACTCTCAGGACATCTCAGGGTCACAGAGAATCACTTATGCCTGAGGAATGCTGTGCACCAACAAACCACGAAGCGCTGAGTCCTTCTGAGTTTCAGCGTCATGATTGTCTCTACTGCAGAGTCAACAGTTGTCACAGTCAGTGTCAGGTTACTGAGCTGGACTGTTATACAGTTACTGAACTGACACAGTTCAGACTGTAGGGTAAAATGTTTTTGTTCACTGCCTGCATTGTTACTAACAAAGGGTCAGTGAGGCCAGTGAGTTAGGACAGACACACGTCACATAAAGACACCTCTGCCATTGTTCACCTCTGAAGCCGAATGTGGTGCTTAGTCATTAGGTTGATTCTCATTTTTTTTATAGTTGTCTGTGTGTGTCTTTGTGCTCTCATCTGACCTTAAAATGCAAAATATTACAAATCTCACACACTGCGTTTATATGCACTACTGCACATCTGTAAGGAGTGCAGCTTACTTCAATTATTAATATTATTATCAGTATTAGCAGTAGTGGTAGTAGTATTAGTATTGTTATTATTATCATCATCATTATTATTATTGCGTTTTAGCCCGTTAGCAATATGCAACAAATCTGTACCTCCGTAAAGTGTTAATTATTTATCGGAAATTCTGAAAGTTTGACCGCTAGGACAACAATGCATCACTCAAAATCTATCCAAAAAAAGTTAATTACTGAGAGGTCTGGATAAAGCCCCATAGGTGCACAAATTTAAATTATTTTTTAAGTTAAAGTCTGGTTTCAATATGCACATTAAAATGATCCAAACTACCAAAATACGTATTACAAAAGGTAGTTAAAATACTCTCACTGTAAAAAAAAAAAGAAAAACAATACACAATTGCCTTCTGGATGATATATATGATATATTTATATTTTGTACTTTTAGTGAGCAAAATTAGTGAATTTTCCATACTTGTGCATTCTTTGTTACTACACACATGAGCTCACACTGTTACAGAGTTTCCTCATGTGAGAGGGTGGAGTTTCCTCAGAAGGAAAACAGTCAAATGCACTGAGACTCGTCACCCTCGTCCCAGTGGGTGGGGTGTGGTGGACCTGTATAGAAAACTTTATGATGGTTCATGCTTGCTCACCATGTCATGTGTCTTCCTGAACCTAGATCAAGAATTTAGCTAGGTCTCTGGAACCAGAAGGAAATGTACAGTTTGTGAAACTATCCTGACAGTCATTATACTCAAAGTATTACAACCTTACGTTAAATACTACAAGGGAAATACACCAAATGCGTAGGACAAAAAGTAGAAATGTAGCTTTTGGACAAAATGTTTCATCTTTTCCCAGACATATGGCTAAGTTTGTAGTTCTTATTTTCTATACAGGGGTATAAGGAGTTATTTTCAGCACAGACTGAACCGTTGAGTCAGTTGTCTCATAAAAACCTAAAAACAGCACAAAAAGAAATAGAGACACTTGGACAAGTCTTTCATACGATTCCTGCTTTTACGTACTTCATAAATACTTCATGCTCAGAGTAAGCACTTGTGACTAACCTTATCCAGGATGAATTTGTTCAGGTATGGCATGTATCCTTGGTTGGAGACCGGGCCCTCGTCATCATCTTTAAAGTGCTCCTCCAGTGCCGCAGGGTTGTGTGGGATTTTCATCACTGTGCACAAGTTGTGCGACAGCACCTGGGAACATGGAGGGGAGAATTCAGTATCACAATCACATATGTTTGTGTTGAGAAGATTTTTTTGTTAAAAATAAAGGTCTTGGACCACACCTGGCACATAAACAATATACCAGGTATTTGGCACAAAAACACAATGAGACAAACATTTTTTTCTTAATGTAATGTTTAAAGACTTTGGTTTAAATATCCCTGATGTGTGTCCACCTGAGATTCTGAAAACATCTGATTTAACTATGGTGGTTCAAACTATTTGTAAAGTTACTTTATCTACGTTGGAACTTGAGTTTTTTGGGACATATAAGTCTGTTTATAAACGTGTTAGGATCAAAAATGGCCCTACATACAGTACAGTGACAACGTGACTTAACCCAAAAGAAAAAAAAAAGTCTTCAATTAACAGGTACAAAACACATTTGTGTTACATTAAATACATACAGTCACCACATCATCATATGTCAGACGCCTTAACAATTTATTTTGTTATTTTTACAGTTAATATTCTGAAATATTCTATTTACAGTAGATACTGTAAAGAATCTCGAAATATTTACAGTAGATACTGTAAAGAATCTAAAAAAATATATAATTACCAAAAATGTTACCTGTTACAACAATATCTCTTAAAGTTGTAGATACCATACAACAAGCAGCTTGTAAGAAACGTAAAGTATTTTAAGTTAATCTGACTTAATTTGTTTAGTAACTACATAACAGTTGCAGTGCCAGCTGTG